GCTGGAGTTTGACCCAAAAAGGGTTCGATATGCTGCTGACCTCCTGAGCAACATTCGGTTCGGCACAATCTCAGCTCCAGACTTGGTCAACCATGTGCAACCTGTGCCACGCATGATGCAAGATCCGCAGTGCCACAAGCTCCTCGTGGATGCTATGAATTACCACCTGCTCCCCCACCAACAAAACAACCTTCAGTCTCGGAGAACCAGGATACGGGGAGGCCAGAGGGTGCTTGTCACAGTCGGAGGTCGTCCAGCTTTGACTGAGAAGGCTCTTAGCAGGGAGATCAGCTACAGGGACACAGAGGGAAACTGGAACAAGCTGACGGAGATGCCAGCAAAAAGTTTTAACCAGTGCGTGGTGGTGATGGATGGATTCATCTACATCGCGGGTGGTGAAGACCAAAATGATGCCAGGAACCAGGCCAAGCATGCCGTCAGCAGCCTGAACAGGTAAGATGGGCTCCACCTGGCCACACAGACCCTGGGGAGGGGTTCAGAGCTGTGCCATGTCTGCCTGTGCCCCAGCACCCACCATAGGGTGAGGGATGAGCGCATCAGAAAAGTTCCTCTTTGCTATCAGTAACCAGGAGGTAGGTCTGGCCTCGGGGATAATGCTGCCAGAGGGGGACAAATGCAGCGAGGCCCAGCACAGGGTGCTGGACTGCGAAACACAAGACCTGGAAACCACTTCCAGGGATTTAGCTTGCATGGCCCCAGCCTGGGCTTTCCCTGGGGACTTTGGTGCCTGGGCTGTGCTGTCCATGTCCGGTGCAGGATGAGGGTGAGGCACAGCCTCTCCGAAGCTGTGAGGCTCCTGGAGAAACGGGAGCCCTCGTTATTTAGGAGGAATCCATTTTGTTACTCTGGGGAGCTCCCCTTTTTGCCCGCTGGCTGTTCCTCCGGGGCCAGTGCCAGCCTCAACCCAGTCTCTGGTTTGTCTGGATTAATTTTAAGGTAAATTCACTGTCTGTAGGATTCCTGTTGCCCTTCAGGCTTCCCTCTCTCCGCCTCCCTTTTTCTCTTCATCATTTAAATGACACGGTTTGTTCCCCATAAACCTGTCACTGGATCACCAAGGGATGACTATTCAAAGAAAGGAGGAGTAACCATGGCAACCGGATACGCAGTATTTTGTTTGCAACCTGAACCTGAACTTCCTAGTGACTCTGCCCACAGCTTGGCTCAGCCACCTGAGACTCCACACGCAATAGTGCTGGCACTGCTCAAGGCCAGTGCTTCGTGGCCCCAGCTCACCACCCCTCGGCTAGGAGCCATCATTGGGGTCTTCCTCCTGCACCGAGTGAGGTTTTGGGGACACACTGGCAGGTCTCCTTTCTATTTCTGGCCAGTAGCTTGTCCACCTTTCCCAGCCTGGCCTTAGTCCCCGTGGCATCACTCTGAGGACACAGCAGTTGCAGTTTCCTCTGCCATCTTGTGAGCACACAAGAAGCTGTGTTCTTACCATGTGCCTGGCTTTGGCCTGGAACGGTGGGCAGGGAAGTCCTGCCCCGAGGTCCTCTTCTACCTGCCAAGACCCAACAGAGGGGACAGGGACGGTGCTTGAGGACACCTCAGATGGGTAGCACTTTCCATTTCCAAGCCAGGCCAGAGCTTGTGGTAGCAGGAGCAACACTGGGCCATCCCAAGGTTTAGAGTGGCAGCAACCCCAGCAGTCACAGGCAGGATCCAGTCCCTTGCAGTGCCGTCATCTCCATCTGCACTGCCTGTCCAGATGCTTTTTTACTGCTGGAGAAGACAGAGAGGCTCTTCCAGAGCGTGAGTTGTCTGCGCTGAAGGCAGATGTTTGACAGGCCCCTCTTCTCCCCACGGCCCTGATGCTACTCCCAGAGAGACAGATATGCCCTTCGTCCCCCAGGTACGACCCGCGCTTCAACACCTGGCTGCACCTGGCCAGCATGCAGCACCGGAGGACACACTTCAGCCTGAGCGCCTGCAACGGGCTCCTCTACGCTGTCGGAGGGCGCAACGCCGAGGGCGCGTTGGCATCTGTCGAGTGCTACGTCCCCACCACCAACAGCTGGCAGAGCAAGGCAAGCCTGGAGACACCCCGCTGCTGCCACGCTACCACGGTCATTGATGGCAAGCTACTGGTCACCGGTGGCTACATCAGCCATGCCTATTCCCGCACCGTGTGCTGCTACGAGCCCAGCACCGACACCTGGAGGGAGCAGGCAAGGCTCAGCACCCCCCGGGGCTGGCACTGCGCAGCCACTGTGGCCAACCGAGCGTATGTGCTGGGTGGGAGCCAGCTGGGTCCCCAAGGCGAGCGGGTGGACGTGACGCCCGTGGAGTGCTACAGCTCAGTCACGGGGCAGTGGAGTTACATGGCACCCCTGCCCACGGGGGTCAGCACGGCTGGGGTGGCTCTGCTGGAGGGGCGCTTGTGCCTGGTGGGTGGCTGGAACGAGGGTGGGAAGAGATACCAGAAATGTGTGCAGTGCTACAACCCTGACCTGAACGAGTGGGCCGAGGACGAAGACCTCCCCGAGGCTACTGTGGGTGTCTCGTGCTGCACCATCATCCTCCCGCGCTCCCTGAGCTCCAGGTCGCGGGCCAGCTCCGTGGCCTCGGCAGCAACCAGCACGTAAAGAGCCCTGGGAGCCATGTGGCTTATGCCAGCAGTTAGGAAAGAAAACAGAGCTGAGGAGGGTGGAGTAGCTGGATGAGGAGACACATTGATGCTTGGAGTCACTGCAAAATCTCAAACACTCTTGTTCCAGCATGGCAAGTTTTGGGGTCTAGGAAAGCGTCTTCTGAACTGCCTGCATCTCCATCCCGCAGCTTAAGCAGGGATTGCTCAAGCAGGGCAGACACAGAAGCAAGCAGGACAGAAGAGCTTTTCTCCTCAGCCTGCAGCACTGTATCGCAGCGTGGACTGGGAAAAAAAATGGAAGAAAAAGAAGAAAACCAAACCAGAATAATGCAGGAGAAATAGGAATAGCATTGTGAGGCACTTAGAAAACAGCAGTAGTATCAGTTTTAGGAAAAAGAGATGGTCTGTAATAGATCCTGTTGCTCACATAGCATTTGTTCAAGGGAAACACATTTAATATTTAATAATAACATTTAATATTGAAATTTAAAAAAACTAGATACCTTCAGACCAGGAATAACATGAATCTTGACAGCAAGGAAGAGAACTATTGGAGCAACTCACCAAGATCTCCTGCTCTTCCAAGTGCTGTGCTCCAGCTCAAGCAGAGGGAGTCAGGAAAGTGCCCGAGAATGCTATGAGACTCCAGGAAATTTGAGGGGCAAATGGTGCCCTGAAAATAAGCATCAGCTGGAACAGAAGCCCTTCACATCTAAAGCAGGAGCTCTCGCAGATGTGTTCCTGGCTGGGTCCCGCTAACTCATACCATCAAGCTGACAGCTTGGTTTGAACTCCATAAAAAAAAAAACTGCGGTAAAAGCACAGTCAAACCTGTAAAAGGAGAAGTTTTTAGGAAAGTTGATTTTCCAGGGGCAAGCACTTGCTCAGTGCTGCTGTCACTGAGACAGTTTTAAAAATCTGGCTGCCCTTCCAGAGGGCACAGGGACTGCAGACTCCCCCTTACAGCACGGCAGAGCACGGTCATGCTCCTGGGCTGAGCACGTTGGGACAAACCACACCACAGCACTCCAGACCCTGCCCCAGCGGGTCTCGGAATCAGCCCCAGGGTAGCAATAACCTGTGACACGCAGGAGGCAAGACAGAGCAGCGGTTATTTCCTGGTCTCCAGCCCATGGTCCATACCAGACATCACACAACAGTCACACGCTGGGGCCAGCATCTTCTGGTAACAGGTCCTGTTACTGGAGCACAGTTACACGTGATCCTGGACTGGCTCATCACCTTCGTCTCAGGCCAAGACAGCTACGTGCTGCTGAGCATCCAGGCAAAAGCTCTTGATTTCATTCCAGTCTTTTTTGCACAACACAGTGAAATGGCATCCAGGAAAGCCCCGAACTCCTCGAGGGAACCCCAACATGCCATGAAGATGCCAAGACAAGAGCTTCAGCAAAGCAGGCTGGTTCACACTTCCTTTCACAACACACCAAAACCGAGCAGTCGCAGGAGCTACAGCTCACATAAAGGTATTGATCTTTCTCTTGAGAATTCCCTCTCAATTAAGAGTTCACATCAAGCACAAAGCTGTACCAAGGCAGAACATCATTTCTGTTCAAATTTGACTTTCCTCTGTGCATTTTAGCATGCACAGCACATCCTGCCCTGTTCGTTTTGGAGCGAGCTCCACCCTGAACAGTGCTGACAACCTCCTCTGGTTTACACCTCCAACAGGCTGGTCTAGTCTTGTGACAGCACCGTGCCATCGCTGGTGTTAGCATGCACAGATTTGGATGGAAGTGAGTTTGTTCCTTGGGGTTTTTTTTGTAATTTTTTTACTGTAAGATGCAGAAAAGAACTGAACGCTAGAGGCAGAGAGGCAAGTGTGTTGCTGAACTTCACTTGTGCAAGCTTGTTATCCTGCAGGGAATTTTCTTTTTAAATAAAGGCTATGCCTTTGCAGAGGAAAACTGTCTGGCTGCGTAATTACAGCAGTTTAACACTCCTGACACATTTTAAGAAACCAGTCAAGATTCATCCTCTACATTCCAAGCACATCCAGTCATTGCTTCAGGATTTCTACAGCACACGGAGAGCACCATGATCTGTGGGATAGAAACAACTGTACCAGCTGCGGGTACAGGCACTCGAGGTCACTCACACTGCCCACACAAGTGGCATGGACTGGGGGGTTTCTGCTGGCTGATCTCTTGTGGCACCACGTTTGAATCTCAGCTCAGGAGCCTCACCAGTCCCCCAGCACTGCCAGCACCACAGGCCTTGCCCATCTCCTCAGCCCCTTCCCATCATCTTTGCTTAGACAAAGAACCTTCAGCCTGGCTTTAGAGCTCTCCTTCATTAAGGGGGTATGTGCACCTATTTCCTTTAGCTTCCCATTGAAGAGTCCCCATAAAATTCACAACAGAAGTTAGGGGTTAGAAAATTTTATTTACTTTTTTGGTAACAGGAACTGCTCATTTACCAGGAAGGATGATGCCATCATACTGTGAGAAAAGAAAAAGAACTAAGTGAGAAAGCACTGTCACTTGGTGCAGCACTGCTGTGCAGAAAACTACACCATCACGTTCATTCCAAGCCACCCAGACAACACTGACATGAAACACCAGTTCTCCTGTGTGAGCAGCTAACTGCCTTTCTACTTTGCTGCTGCACTGTCAACTTCCGAGGGGAACTTTGTTCAGGTAAGCGTTAAACTCCGCTCATCAGCCCAGCGAAACAGAAAGCTCCACTCTCCACAAGTTGGTCTGACCAGAACTACACTCATCCCTTTTACACTCCCAGGATTTGGCCCCTGAAGATAACCATGCCACAGTAACCAGAACCAGGCATGAGGGGGCACAAAAAAAGCCATTCAGCAGG